TTTCGATGTATATCTCGTCAGAGGTATTTGTGCAATAAACCAGAGAAGGCTGGGAAAGTAATAGACGCTTGTATTGTGCTCCACAATATTCTAGTAAAAGCCAATGTTCCAGTAACTGAGACCATCCATCCATCCATCCAAAGAAAATATATTAATGTCACAAAATGCATTACAAACAAACAAATAAAACAGACTTATTTCAATTAGATTATCTTAAAATAAATTCACAGCATTAAGACTTAATATGTATACCTAAATATATACATTAAGACATAAATTCATAAAAGAACAATACATGAACATAACTTAAAAAAATTCAATTAAAAAATAAACATTAACCTAGTTTTGTTTTTTCCATTCAAATTCCGTTTCTTTTAATTGCATTTTTCTAATTCGAAATCTAATTGCTTATTTCTATAAATTCCTTCGGCTCTAAACTTTTCTACATTGAGTTTTTGCTTATCTTTTTTAAATTTAAATTCTCCATTATTTTAACTTTTTTTTCCTCTACAATCAGGAACTTTTCTTCAAATCCTGCCATTGCTTTTGATTTTCTTTTGTTGGAGTTTGAAGTGGAAGGCCGCACATCGATGTCTTGGACTTCTTCTATTCCATTCGTTTGCTGTTGGGATCGCTTCCGATGTCATTGAGAGGTCGGCCAGTATTTCTTCTTCGGTGCGCTAAAATTAAAGAGTGGGATGCCATTTTTTTATACTATTTTCAATTTAATAAATATATAAATTCAATAATTCAAGTAATCAATAGTAATTCAATTTGATAAATATATAAATCAATTTAATAAATATATAAATGCAATCAATTTAATAAATATAAATATGCAAAACTATGTAATTTGCTGTATGAACTTACTTCGGTTACGGTAAGCAACTCGCCCACATTTTCTTCCCCACTAACAAGAACCGGCGACGTTAGTACCCTTCTCTCAAAATCGGATGCTTCTTTTTTCCTCGCCAAACCATTTACCCCACTTTTGCCAAGTTCGGCTTTTCTAAGCACTTCTCTATCCTTTACGTGGCTTCTATAAAAAATGCGCATTTAATGCGTATGTTCGTAATATAATTTACATAATTTTGATCCGACCAATATTTTTTTCCACTACGAGGCATTTTTAACTGCTCCTATACCGTTAAGAGCTTTTGCCAGCTCCTCCCACTTCTTGCCCTTCAAATGGGCACCACCAACTGACTCAAATCTACAGCAGATGAAATTCAATTGTGATATGTAAATTTTGCTTTTATTTGGATAACTGAAAATAAATATATCACGCCTATCATTGGCGAAATCAAGCTTATTTTCCATAAATTCTATTAAGTAATTTTTTTGATCTGCAGACGCTTTTTTTTGCTTTCGAATCCATGTTATTTCCTTTTAAACTCACACTCAAATACGAAAACTCACCGAATAAAATACTGTGAGTTTGTTTGAAGCGAAATGTACACAATTTTGACAGTTAAAACTCATTCTCACACCAGCTGAATCGCAAAGCGCCAGTGTACACAATTTTCAGTGTACACTTGAAAACTCACAGTTACAGAGTCCAGCCCCTGAGGTCTATTGGTACATAACGTTGCGTGTGTTTAGAAAGTCAAAGACTTGGATTGCATGGTCAGTATGCGTTAATCCAATAAATTTTTTTATAGTATCGAAGTAAGCTTAAAAACTAAGCAGGAGGGTACAATTTTTTTTCGTGGGACAGTCGACGCTGTTTAATGTATTTGTGGACAATGCCGGTAAACTAATAGCACTTGTTGACATATGTTCGGAGACTTCTAAAAGAGCGTGACAATTTTATTAGGGTGCATTCACACAAAAAGCCGAGCGGTGCCGCGCGTCGTTAACACTGAACGAAGCGAAGCGGAGCTTTTTTCATGGACTCGGCTGCAAAGATACCATAAAATTTCCCGTCACTGAAAAGCGGCACAAAAATATTTGCAAAATTTTTTTCAAAAGATTAGTTCTAAGATTCGTTTTAATTTGAATATTTCGATATCTTTTATGCAGAAGCGTCATTAAGCTGAAAATTAAATAAAATATTCAAAATCATAAACTGCTTTGCTTTCAGCTACAAAACGCTTCCAAAAAAGCTTGCTGTATGAACACTTTCATAAAGCTACAGCAAATTGAAAACTTCACTCAGCCCGCTTTCTGTGTGGACGTACCCTTAGTTTTTAAGTTCTTTACTGGAGAACCTTGCATTATGAAACGCTTTCTGAAGAAATACGGACTAATGATTCCACCAACCTACAAAAAACGCAAAATCGCTAGTGAATATTTTATATGCATGTGACGGTAGCTCGAGAGCTTTCTCCATTGCATATCCACTAAAATTGAAACACAAACCCAATTTTGCCGGCTTCGAATCTTGAACGTGTTAGATTTTGTAGGCATTTAAATCAAGATCTTTGCCTAAAGATGCGCCAAGTAGACCGATCCGATAAACCCAAATATAGTAAAAATGAGGTTGGCAAATTAGGAAATTTTTTAATGCCAATCTACAGTAAATACTCCATTATAAACAGAACCAAAATATTTTTCCAAAATTTTAATTTAGATTATTTTTTCTTTTTTCAAAGTTGAGAGCTTGTGGAATAAAGTATTCACTAAGTAATAATAGATCTTTAAAGTTGTTGTAACTTTTTTTATTTATGCGGCGAGTCATTTTTTTTGTAACATTATCTCTATTTTATTATACTTAAACTGTTGTACTTATTCCTACTGCAACCAGCTGCATGTCTTTGATTGACAGCCATACTGGTAATACAAAATCTTAGATTTTTCGTTATTTACTGCCTGGAAAAAGAAACAACAGTTTACATGGAGAACTTAACTCAGTGGATACGACTACTAGCTTTGAACGCCGGACTTGTTGTTTCAAGTCCCAGTAAACTCTATGAAGAAGTCTGATTAGGGGGGTGATCTCCGAAATATCAGCTATAACTTCTACCAAAATGTAAATTTTCATTAATAACTTCCTCAAGTTCAATACGAAAATTATTCAATATACATTTTCAGGTAAGTTTGTTAAAGATATGTATCATCAAATCAAGCACATATATTAAATTTTGGTATATAAAACCGATGTTTTTAGTTTCCAGTTCTATTGGAAGTAGGCGTGTCCTTCATCCGATTTTGCTCAAATTTAAAATTTTTCTTAATATATTTCATTGATTACGACAACTCTTACTTTTGGCCCCTCACTATATGGGCACGTTACACTGCGCAACGTTTTCAGTCTTCAACTACACTCTTCAATACGGCCGTTATATAATCGTCACTGGTTGAAGTGCAGAGCTTCGTAAAGTAGGTTCCGTAGAAAAGTCACCGGGGTTAAGCGAAATTAATTTTGGTATGAATAAGCACGGCGCTTCTATAAACAGCTTGACCGCAATTATCTATTTTCAAGTATACATATGTATGCATGCAGTCGTAGTTGGTATGATTGCCGTTAGAGATGGGCACGGGCCGGGCTTTTGGGCCGCGGGTACGGGCCGGAGTATTTGCTGTCAGCACGAACATTTCATAAAAGCACGAATAAGCACGAAAAAGCCCGTTGCTAATACTACAACTAGAAAAGCTTTTGTTTTTATACAAAAAAAAATGTACGTATTAAAAATCTTTTGATAAGAGATAAGCAAAAAAAGAAATATTTGGAAACCGATAGATAAAATAAGATACTTAGTAGTTTTGTTTACATATCTGTACATAAAATACCTCCCATATCTTCTACTTCCCAGAAAATATATGTATTATAAAAATCTTTGATGTGAAAAATTGATTCGCTCAAGTAAATATACATATGTACATAAACACAAAATTAAAAATATGTACATATATATACATACAATAAAAGTTGGCTCTTTATTTCCGGGCATGTCCCGTCGTGCCGGGCCGGGTCCTACTAAAATTCTTAACGTGCGGGCTCGTGCGTGTTTTTGAAAGTTGATTTTGCACTCGTGCCGGTCCGGGCCTGAAAATTTAGGCCCGTGCCCATCTCTAATTGCCGTACTTAGTGCCATACCTACATAAGAGCCTTGAGCTTGCGCTTGACAGCTTGTTTTTTTTCTAACCGGTATGTGTTATTGGCAGCTGTGGCCAAAGGGTTATATACAACTTTCTACAAGGAACGCGATAAATTGCCAAATGAAATGTGAAATGTCATAACTGTGCACTTGGTAAATCACATGAAATCTTTGTCAGATTATTGAAGCACACATTTGAATCTGTATCTCTGAAAGAGTTTTGGGTTTGTGTTAAGAGTAAATATCATGAAGTCGCTTCCTTCTGTCAAAACGTACTCTGTCAACAGGGTTTTCAGCTTACACTTATACAAAAAACAAATTCAGGTCGAAATTGAATGCTGCCCCAGAAATGCGCATACAACTTTCAGACATTATATCGAACTACTATTTTATACAATAACTAGCAGACCCGGCGAACTTCGTCCCGCCCAAAATTAATTTTTTGTATTGAAATATTTTGGTCCAACATTTTCACCAACGTTGACGTTCATAATTTTCAGTGGTGTTTACAATAGGGCTGCCAGACGTCCCGGTTTTGCCGGACATGTCCCGGTTTTAGACTATGTGTCCCGGGGTCCCGGTCCGACCTTAAAATGTACCGGGTTTCGTTTGAGTTTCCACATTTTAATTGCAGAAATTTGAATAAAAGATCAAAAATGACTACCAGTGCCATTTGCGAAATAGTTACATCTCCACATAATTGAACTTTGCACAAGCAATATTTGATGATCGATATACCCACAATACATACCTTTAAGCGCCAAGTGCCCTTCCTGATGCCCTTTAGCCCTTTTTGCTCGTTTGTTATTTGTGCATGGTTTACTTCCAATGTAAGTTTTCGCGACAAAGTTTATAGAATATAAAAATGTGTGTTTATAGTGTTTTAATTACCCCAAGGAAAGTACGAAAGAGAAAGTATAAATTCCTTCCCGCTTTCACAGAATAGTTGTCATTTGTTTATATTTTTGATAAAAGAGAGCCTCACTGAGTTGTCCATCACAACTTGTTGAATACATCTTGGACATACCTAGTCATTAATCTAACATAGATACATTTTTTCTCTTATTTCATCTTAATGGACTAAGGAAAGAAATTCGCTCAAAATACAAAAGTTCATACGCTAAAAATTACGTGTACAGAGTTTTACAATTATATTAATTAAAAGTCAGAAGTTTTCAAACAAATTCACAGCGAAGAAAAATTTTACTGATTTTTTAATGTTATCTTGTACTTACATTTTTTTTCATGAAACCTAGTGTATTTATAAGTACAGTGCCGTACAAAATTATTAGCTCAGGGAATTTTTCATCTGATCTTTTAAAAAATGTAGCTTTTTAGCAAATTAATAAAGCAGTTTTGTTTTTGCTAACAGTGTATTCCAAACAAAAAGAACTGTAGAACATAGTTTGTATGGAAGAAACTGTCAGTAAAAAAATTATCAAAAATTAACTAAAATTCTGGGCTACAAAACTTAATTTTCAAAATTTTGTTGTTGTTTTTGTTGTTGAGTTAGATTTATCAAATTGTCCCGGTTTGGCAACGGACATATCAGGCAGCCCTAGTTTACAACCTATTATCATACCTACCGAATATACACAAACAATTTCATTTAAATCGGTCAAGCCGTTTCAGAGGAGTTCCGCTACAAACACCGTGACACGATATTTTTATATATGTACTAGCAGACCCTACGAACTTCGTCCTGCCCAAAATTAATTTTTTGTATTGAGGCAGTTTGGTCCAACATTTTCGCCAACAGTTAACGTTCATGATTTTCAGTGACGCATTTATCTCCTAATATTATTATTATTATTTGGTGGTTGTCAGAAGGCATATTTCCATTGCCATCTTAAATAACCTAGCAAAAGTGGATATACATACAAAGATACGTAATAGCTTCAGTGCGTTTGAAAGCGCTACGCTCCCTTATAAAATAGCCGCAATTTTCTCTAAGAGTGTACTCTACCATCAACACTTCCAGAGATATGCAGTGTGAAAAATTCGGTTTGTATGGGAGGTGCCAATTTTTCTTGATGACTATGCGATTGATTTTATATGTATTGTACATACCAAGTTCCAGTACTCTACCATGAACACTTGCAGAGATATAAAGTGTGAAAAATTTGGTTTGTATGGGCGGTGCTACGCCCC